ACTGGTTCCGTTGTGAATGTATATTGATGAGAAGTCTCGTACATTGATGAAATATCCTTCTAGAGTGTTGATATGCTAATTAACAAACTATGCTAGTATTTATATTAGCAGTGTTTGAACTGACCTTACAAATTTGTAAGCTTTCATACTTCTGATAAACATTACTAACTGCATACAGAAGTGTTAATGCTTATGGTATGTAAATCGATGTCAAGTTTAAGAGAGATTATGTTATATCTCAGTATTCTAACCTACATCATGTGTTAAGTCGACCAATCAGAATTCTAATTTCCTCTATTCCACGTCTACCATTTCGTCCATAGCTTAGTGTCCCAGACTTAACCAGTTATGAGTCTGACCTACTCGTTAACATTGAAGCAGTATAAACCAAACCTATATTGGTCCGCTATTATTAACCCCTTCTCTATCTCCTAACTTGAGTGCGGAAAGTCAGCAGCCAGATCCCATTATTACTATATTCTAAATTTATGTACATTTATATGCAAACATACTGGAATGCATCACATCATAAAATGAAAAATCACAATTACACATAAACGAGCCAAAAGTAAGTGGCTATGAATAAGTCAGTCAAGCTGTAGAAAAGTCTATTCACAATGAACTAGGAATAATTAATAGTATAGTATTCGGTGGGAGGTTAAACAGAAACTTAAAATAAACATAATGTATATACATAGTACCCCATTAATAATTACAGTAACTACGCAACAAGAATATAAACAATGATGATTCGATGGTGATTGGAGGTAGTCAACAGGAAACCCCAGACCCGGGTTTCGTGCTACTTGGCACTCGTCAGCAAGATGTACCTATGACCTTGGGGGAACTGGTGCTCCTTGGTGGATTCAATCTCGTGTCACCCAGCTTCACAGTCAGAGACGTTACCACTGAGCTATCCGAGCCTCGACTGACCTCTTGTAGGACTGAGATATAATCACAATTGATTGATCACTGGGTGGTGACCAATGTTATGCGTGTCAAGTCCTTATTTAGTGCAGATCGAATGCTATCGACCATGTTGCAATGTGATCACTAATCTAGTTGACTGGACACTGTTTGCACTAAATAAAGACTTGACACGCATGACATTGGTCACCACCCGGTAATCAATCAGTTGTGATTACAATGATGATTCGGATATTCAAGTGTTCCCAATGATCAGGAGTTAACTGCATGACCTGAGAGTGTTAGGTTCGACCTTTGTCATGCGCTAGTACTGTCGTGAATAGAACACAAATGAGGACAATCGAATGTACTTCAACACGAAATTACAGAGCATCTCACTAAAATCTAAGAACCATACAGTAAATACTTCATTTGCAAAATATCAATCCATTATCTCAAACTTAACTGTTTCTTCTGCAAATATCAATCCATCGTATCAGATTTCATTGTTCATGCATTTTCATACCAATTGCTTTCCGTTCCCATTGTTTTTTTCTCAATCTTCTACTGAAATATATTCTATTCCTGACTATCGTTATATACTACTTATGCGGATATAAGTAGCTCATGCCACAGTATAATCACTCCTGATCAATCCTGTACATTATCAGTACAAGATTTCTAGTACATCCGGTAATATTCATTCGTGCCTTAAATGACATCATTCAAGATTAACACCTTTTACAGATGAAAACCACCGTCATGTTTTATCTTAAACAAATATTATGTCCATTTAGTTAATAAGTGTAATTGCTTTAGACTAATAGATTTTAACGACTCATGAAAATCAGTAGTATCTATAAACAACTAATTAAGACAAGTATTCCAATGGCTATAACATTTATTATCTGAGTTGTGTAGTGCCGCGTCGAGCCGCGGTTAACTATGATCACCACTACAAGAAGGTTACGTACCAGATATCAGAAGGCGATTGAAGGTTGTAGTGAGATATATTTGTTGGTGATCTCGTGGTATCGAAAGAATATCGAGATCGTACCAAAAAAGTACAAGTAGAATCACTGAGCAAACGTAAGCGCGTGCAAGGTCATAATCAACGGAAGAAAGTATGTCTTTTTGGTACAGATAAACAAACAAGCACAGTAAAACAATCCCTGGTACAACTGGTTATAATAATAATTGTTTCCATTACACCAATCTCGTTCTCTTGATAAAAGTAGGTCACTACAGTTATGTTACAAGGGTACTCACTATTATTATTATTATTATTATTATTACTATTATTATTATTATTATTACCATTATTAATGGCTTTATTCACTATAATGATTTAGGTGTAGTATAGAATTTTCAGCACAAAGTATTCCAGAGAGTTTCCGTTTCTCATTTCTTGATCGATCGTGACGATAACATATTGAGTGGTTACTAGTTAGATGTTATCATTTCAAGAATCGATATTCTTTCTGCTGTATATTGTCAACAACTATGATGCCTTTGATTGAACTCTTTTGTAAATTATATAGTGAAATGTCGTAAACTATTCATAAACATACCTGAATAAGTTATGAAACTATTAGGCATAATAATGTGTTAAAACAAAAACAGATAACATATGTAAACAAGTACAAATAAGTCTTTCAATTTATACATTGACTATCAGTTTAGGGGTTGTGGTGATTGTTAAGTTTTTAATTGAGACCATGAACCGATTGATGTTAGACCACCTCTTGGAAACCTGGAAGCACTGGACGGCCGTTTCGTCCTATTTTGGGACTCCTCAGCAGTGCGTATGCACGATCCCGCTCGCGGGATTCCAACCCAGGAGCTTCAGTCTCGCGTGCGAACGCTTAACCTACTAGACCACTGAGCCGGCATCCAATGGTATTAATGTCTAACCTCAACCAACCCACGAAGTAGCGCGACCATCTTCCATTGTACTGAGGTAGACACCTGTTCCCACCCGACACCGATTGGCTCCACTGATCACGGCTTCTCACCAGAACTCCGAGAATTTTCTCACGAAGCTAGTCACTAGTGAGCACATGGTAATTATCAGTTCAGGAGTTGTGGAGATTGTTAAGTTTTTGATTGAGATTCATTGTGTTTTTTTAAACAAAAGAAGGTTAAAATACACATGCTGTAATCGAGAAAAATTCTCCTGACGAATCAATAAACACTTGCCATTTTAAGCCACAATATTGTTTACTTGAATCTTCTCATTGATGTTTAAGACTGTAATTGATCAGTCTCTTATTAGCATATGTTTATGATGTATAGATTGCCTCGATATTGCTTTTAGTCACAAGCTTTTTAAACAAGGATGGATAGTGGCTAGCGGTGGAATCCAGGATGCAAGCTTCAGTTATATTTAACACTTATTAAATGGATGTACTTGTATCTCAGAGTTGATGTTCAGTCTGGGACTTGAATCCGGTACCGGTCGCTTCAAACACCATCACGAGACCAAAATTGAACGAAACGCATGTCCTGGATTCCACTGCTAGCCACTCTCCATCTTTGCTAATAACGCTTGTGAATTAAAGCGATATCGAGGCTATTCGTACACTATGCACATATGCTAATAAATGACTGATCAATCGCGGTTTTAAACATTATTCGGAAGATACGAGTAAAACAACACCAAGTGAATATAAATTAGCTTATTTTGAAATTTCCTTTTTAGATATTTCGGTGAGATTATTATTTATGGATGACGTTTGAGTGAAGCCAGATTGGACTTGAGAGTGTCCATCTGATACTTAGGACCAAATCAGGATTATAAATCAGTGTGAGGAATTCGCATTACGATTTACAGTTGATGGTTAAGGTTAAGAATTAGATTTAGGGTTTTCATCACGAGCTGATATCATCTATACTGCGAAAATTCTATTTAACCGAATGGATGAGTGAATTTCGCACTAAAATCCAACACCTGTTAGTCCATAAATTATAGTCTCACCAATATTTCAATAACTATTCTATAGTCATTTAATGGTTCATTTCATGAGTCAATTGAAGTTAAACCACCATGGAAAACCTGGAAGCACTGAAAGACCATTTCATCCTATTGTGAGACTCCTCAGCGGTGCGCATCCACGATCCCACCCCGCGAGATTCCAACCTAGGATGTATCAGTCCCGCGCGCGAATGTTTAAATCCTAGACCACTGAACGGGCATCCATGTTAATGTGTAACTTCGACTAATCCACGAAGTTGATCGACACATCCACCATTGGCTTCAATGAGTTACTATTTCACAACAGACTCGATTTAACTCCACTGATCATTGCTTCTCACTAGAACTCCAGGGATCACCTCTTGAAGCCAGTCACTAGTGAGAATATGTCGATTCATATCAGAAAGGCTTTTCTGGATATAATATTAATTTTATCAGTTAAAATCATGAGTTAACTGAAGCTAGATCACCATGGAAAACCTGTAAGCATTAAACGTCTGTTTCGTGTTATTGTGGGACTTGTCGGGGTGCGCATCCACGACCCCGCCATCCACCCGATTCGAACCCAGGACCTATCAGTCTGGTACATGAATGCTTAAACTCCAGATCACCGAACTGGTATCCAACGGTTTTAATGTCTAACTTCAATCAATCCAATAGTTTATAGTTTTCATGTAATTCATAAAAATACAAATTACACATTATTTTTTTGGGACATAATATCTATTCAACACAAAAATAAAATGTACTTTTTCAACACTGATTTCATATGATACCATGGCAACAATGAAAACCAAAAAACAAACAATTCCGCCCCCCCCCACCACCACCACCGAAACAAAACTAAACTGATTTTTCATTTAAAAATTTCATTGAGTTTTATGGTATTATTATTATGATGATTAACCTCAACAACAAAAAATACAAAAAATAACCCCTGAATACTTTCAACAACCAAAAGTACATGTTACCTAATTATTGAAATAGAAAATATAAATTAGAATTGATGTTAACAATCATGTTACTATGTATAGGGTGTATCATTTACATTTGACTTAGAATGATTAATTCTCTTATAATACTATTCATATTCATATTGTTATATAATAATTATTGTCAAATGAATGAAATAACATGTAAGTATCTATATATGATGTAATATGTTATTTATAATATTCTGATTAGCGTTAGGTTGTTAACCCCATGCCCAACCCTCCTCCTTTATCTCGGCTTGGGATCGGCAGTAGTCCTCGGATGTACAGAATATCTAGGGTATTTATAATATTTTAGATGTCCTTCGATTTCCGGAAGATTCTGGAATGTTACTAAATATGAGATGGTGGAGAAGATTTGTAGCTCAGGTAGATGATTTTGATGGAGTTTTGTTCTCTGAGCTGGCAGCACGAAAAAATGAAGAGAAATACCTGAAGGACGTATTTCAAAAGAACGGCTACCCAATCAACTTCATCAAAAAATACCAACCGCACGCAGCATCAGAGCCTAAGTCAAGCACAGAAATCAATAAAAGGATCGCCCTACCATATATAAAAGACATATCAGAAACCGCAGCGAGACTGCTGAAAACCTTCGGGATAGGTGTGGCACACAAACCAACAAAATCCCTACAACCAAAGGATGAAATAACAAAGGAAAACAAACCAAACATCATCTACAAAATAAATTGTGCCAACTGTGAAAAACACTATATCAGACAAAGCGGACTCCCCCTTCATCTTCGCCTACACGAACATCAATTAGCAGTCAAACGCCATGATACTTCCTGACTTATATCAATACACGTGGACAACTGCGGACACCCATTCGATTGGAAAAATGTGGAAATCTTGAACAGAGGAAATTCCAAAGACATCAGGGGATTTTTAGAAGCCTGGCACTCAGGTCAATCAGCAATCAACAAACATATTGAAATCAATCAAATTTATCAACCAATCAGGAAAATCATGCACAAATATAGGAACAAAAATCAAACCAATGGGCGACACAACCAAAACAAAGAAGTAAACAATGACAACATCGAGGTGCACAGAACAAGCTGTGAAACACATGGAGAAATTCGAACACTTCACTTCTATGTGAAGTTTGTGCTGATGATGTCGTTCAGAGGAATGACGAAAGCTCCACGACCAAATCATCCAGCTCAGAGAACAAAACTTCACCAAAATGTTACTAAATATAGTATCAATATCATTAATCATTCAATCAGGAACTTGACTTTTTACTTTCTAGGTGTTTCTAGCAAAATTTTTATTGAATACTGATTACATAAGATGTTTTTTCAGTATTTTCAAAACTTTTCTTGGCTTTTTCCGAAGAGTTTTCTAGATCTTCCCAAATCCAAGATTAAACTTTTTAACTTATTTATAACCTATCTGATGTATGCACACATCTCTTTTAATGTTGTTGTTCATAATGAAACTTGAATGCAATACTTTACGTTACGAACGCTTATGTTGCGTATATAACAATAGAGACTAATCAATTCCAGAATAGAATCATGGATGCTCATTGTTTAGGAGTTCCACAATAGAACGAAACGAACATCCAGTGCTTCCAGGTTTTCCATGATTGTCTAGCTTTAATTGACTCATTATCTCAACTATTAAAATTACTGAAATATCCACAAAACCCCTTCTGATACTAACTTATATCTAATACGCTTTCGTATACATTGCTGGACAATTACAGCAAAGAGAATGACTTAACAGGTCTTGTTTCATTCCTTAAGTTGGCCAATTATGTAATAAAGTTGCCTTTTGATTTGATAGATAGTTTACAGTATTTTCCTCGGTTACATGTATCTTACGATCATAATGCGTTAATACATTAATAAGGCTAATCACGTTATATCAGAATCAGGATTCGTGATCCAAAATGAAGAACCAGATTAATACTAGTAGAATATTATATTCAATACAATTACAAGTATTCATACATAATGAGTCCTGAGTATAAATCAATAATTGGAAGGGAAACCACATATTCAGTAGTCTGTAGGCTGTGGTTGTTTGTCCATGCTCAACGATCAATCATACTTTACTTTCATTAGCACACATCACCTTCATGAATTCTTAAGAACTGCAATTCTTAATTCTCCGTCTGTAGCCCTTCTAGAGCTACTGACATTCTCAGGTCCGTGTAAAAGAGAAGGGTTGGGCGTGCAGTCTGCAACCTCATCCCGTACAAAACAACCTTACTTATGCTCCTCCATAAGGAGTAGCACAAGCGCAAGTAAGTAAGTAAGCAAATTTTAATTCATATTTCTCAAATGCGATTATTAATAAGTGGTATGCTGATGATCTGAAAGAATTTCAAATGGATTGTAGTTAGAAATATATAAGACCTAAAGGTCATAGATTTGATTATTGAAAGATTTTCAAGAGTTCAATGCTACGAAGTTTAACACGAGGACACAAAATATATCTATCCAATACTTCATAGTTTTAATTGAAGATTAACCTCTGATACCTAATCTTTTCAACAAAGAAAAGCCCCCAAATGCCCTGGTACGGCTGAGAGTGAAGAGAGTCCACTCTCCCTCGAAAAATGCTCTCAAATGGCCACTTACATACAACCACTACCAGGGAAGTCCTACTCACTGCCTTCTCGTGGCGGGGGTGTTGTTTACGAGATTGAGAGGACGAAAAGCGAATATCCGGCGCTTTAACCAGGTTGGTGGACATGGAAAATCCATCTAGGGGAGTCAGAAAACCCTCATTCCAAACCAATGGTGCACATGAGCTCCAATATGCTGAAGGAACAAATGGCGTATGAACTAATAGTTGGTCGCCGACAACCATGGGACTGCATCTCCTTACGTTGCTCCACTGCCTTGTAGATCAGGGGGGCTCCGGTTGTGGCCTTCTATGAAAACCACATGCTTTGGTTTGGTCACCCGGACAGTATCACAGCCCTCACACATATCAAATGAGATTCGTGTGGCGCATATGCATTTGGTGCTTCGTTGTACCGATATCTATATGTTAAAATGAATAAATAAAAATGAACAGTAAATTATTAAGATACTTCAATTAATTCCTATTTACTTTTCAACATCCTGATCTCGAATCCCGCGAGCAATATCGTAGACCAACACTGCTGAGGCAATCCCATTCTATGACGAAACTGCCATCCAGTACTTCCAGGGTTTTTTTATGGTGATCTAACTTTAACTGTGATTCATGAATCTAACTACTTGTTTTTTCTTTCATTATTTTGTTGTTGTCAGCTTGTTCAGAACCTTTAGTCTATTTCAATCAATCAGGTATAATTAAATCCCATGCTCAATATGGAATGATGAATTATACATCAAATTTATATTGTGAATATATAATAAAAGCACCAATGAATTATAAAATTATCATTCAAATAGAAGAACTTGATTTAGAAGAAACGAATAGGTAAGTGAATAACCATTTTGAAAATATGGAAATCTTAAAAAGGAATCTTTTAATGTCTCTATGAATGAGACTATCATTTATGGACGACGATCTTTGAACGATGCCAGACTGACTTTGAAAGGGTTCATCTAATAACTAACACCTATATGAGGAATTCGAATGATGATTTAATGTTGATAATTAAGATTAAGAATTAAATTTACGGTTTTCATTACGAACTAACATTCGTTATAATGCTAAAACTCGATTTAACCAAATGGATAAGTGAATTACGCGCCAAAATTCGAGACCTGTTATCTTATACCTGATTGGTTTATAGTCTCGCCTTTCATTGACTTAAATAGCATTGGTGAATAATGGAATTTAATAAGTCAAATACGAGGATGGATGTTTGAGTATGTATATTTTGTATATATTGATCTGGACAGACAATCTGAGGGACGAAGCGAAATGATACGCGGTGGATAAGGCATGTGAGCCAACTCGATTTAATCAAGTGTTAATCGATCAATATAGTCACACAAAAATAAGCTCTAGACATGTGATGAATAGGATCAGATGTACACATACATACGCTCATATAGAAACAGTCAAGGTTGGTAAGTGAATAATTAACATGGTCAAAATGTGACTCAAGCAGAATGGATAAATTAAACTGTCCAGAAGCTGGAATAAGGTATATGGGCTTAACATAGTAACCGATATTGCAATCTCTTTTCAGTGCATTTATTTCACTTGTTGAATCAATTAAAGCTAGACCACCATGGTAAACCCGGAAGCACTGGAAGGCCGTTTAGTCCTAGTATGGGAGTCCTCAGCAGTGCGTATCCACGACCTCGCCCCCTACGAGGTTCGAACCCAGGGTCTACTGGTTTCGCGCGCGAGCACTTAACCACCAGACCACTGATCCGGCATCCAACGTTGTTAATGTCTAACTTCGACCAATCCACGAAGTTGCATCACCGTACACCATTTTCTTCAGTGAGTTGATATCTCACAACCGACCTGGTTGAACTCCACGGGTAACGGCTTCTCACTAGAACTTCAGGAAATGTCTCTTGAAGTCAGTCACTAGTGAGCAGATGATTATTATCAGAAGGGGTTTGGTGAAGATTTTGGTAATTTCAATAGTTGAGATCATGAGTCAACTGAAACCAGACCACCATGGAAAACCAGTGAAATTTCTAAAACAATCTCTACAAAACCCCTTCTGATAACGCATTTGTTGTCAAGCTGTACAATGGTATATAAATATGAGATTTTTAGGGTATATGAACAACAAATAAATATAATGATGTAATAAAAAGATTATGACAACATACCAACTGAAGTCAGACATCAAAGTAACTACAAACACGCTTTACCTTCTATTCAAAAAGATTTAAGAGGAGTGCCGATGGACTGAAAAGAAGGACACCTCATCAAGATTTTAAAGAAAAGAGATCTGAGCAAATGTGAAAACTATAGAGGCATTACACTACTGTCAATACCAGGGAAAGCCTTCAACAGAGTGTTGCTGAACCGGATGAAAGATGCAGTAGACGCCCAACTTCGAGATTAACAAGCTGGATTCCGTAAGGATCGATCGTGCACAGACCAAATTGCAACACTACGGGTCATCGTCGAACAATCAGTTGAGTGGAACTCGTCACTATACATCAACTTCATTGATGAAAAGGCATTTGACAGTGTGGATAGGAGGACGTTATGGAAACTTCTTCGACACTACGGAGTTCCTGAGAAGATTGTCAATATTATGCGGAACTTATATGACGGACTACAATGCAAAGTCGTGCATGGAGGAAAGCTGACAGATGCATTCCAAGTAAGGACCGGAGTCAGACAAGGCTGTTTACTCTCTCCCTTCCTTTTTCTCCTGGTGGTCGACTGGATTATAAGGACCTCGACATCTGAAGGAAAACACGGAATACAATGGACAGCTCAGAATCAATTAGACGATTTGGACTTTGCAGATGACCTAGCCCTCCTATCGCGTACACACGAACAGATGCAGATGAAGACAGCCAGTGTAGCAGCAGTCTCTGCATCAGCAGGCCTCAATATACACAAAGGGAAAACCAAAATCCTCAAATTCAAAGCGGAGGACAGCAATCCAATCACTCTTGATGGCGAAACTCTGGAAGATGTAGAATCCTTCACATATCTGGGAAGCATCATCGATGAACAAGGAGATTCAGATGCAGATATAAAGGTGAGGATTGGCAAAGCAAGGACAGCATTCCTACAGTTGAAGAACATATGGAACTCAAAACAACTTTCAACCAATATCAAAGTGAGAATCTTCAATACGAACGTCAAGGCAGTCCTACTGTATGGAGCTGAAACTTGGAGAACTACTACAACCACCATCAAGAAGGTACAAGTATTTACAAATAGCTGTCTACGCAAGATACTCAACATCCATTGTCCGGATACCATCAGCAACAGCCTTTTGTGGGAGAGAACAAACCAACTTCCAGCTGAAGAAGAAATTAGGAAAAGACGATGGAAATGGATAGGACATACATTACGCAAATCGTCAAACTACATCACAAGACAAGCCCTAACTTGGAATCCTGGAGGGAAGCGGAAAAGAGGAAGGCCTAAGAACACATTACGTCTGATAATAGAAGCAGATATGAAAAAGATGTATAACAACTGGAAGGAGCAGGAAAGGATTGCCCAGGACAGGGTTGTATGGAGAATGCTGGTGAGCGGCATATGCTCCTTCAAGAGGAGTAACAGGCGTAAGTAAGTAAGTAAGTAAAAAGATTATGATACATAGTTAAATTGTGTAAATAATCACAACAAAGTCAACAACACTAACTGATCCTAGTTAAACAGTGATTGAAGTCTTAAAAGTACAAAAGAGCTGTTTTATCTTTGTATTGAACTCCCCAGCAGTGGATAACCATCACCCCATCACCAGAGATCAAATTTAAAACCTTGAATTTCTCATTCAAAAGCTTAACCTTTAGATTATCATTAAGCTGAGTTCTAATGGCGTAATTATTTGACTTCCATGAATTAGCAATATTGAGCAATTCACTTTCAATGTACTTGGTGAGTAACTGCTTCGGATATTACATGATTGAACTTCATCAGTCACAGCTTTTCAGCAGAACATAGGAATTGTACCTGGAAATTAGTTACTAGTGATTATGTAATCAATTACTATAAAGGGTTTGTAGGGAGTTTTTGGGTTTCATATTTAACTGACAGTGAACTAAAATCGGTTTATCATGCTAACCACGAATAACAACCAGAATCCTACAACTCCTGAAGGAATTTTGTAAATAAAAAGACATGAGAAATTAATAAGCTGACAATGAATTATAGTTTCATTTAAATCATGAGCCGATAAATCTTAGACCACAATTGGACACGTGGAAGTACTGGATGAATATTTTGTCCCGAACGTGGTAATCGAACCCAGCACAACCGATCTCGCACACTAACGCTTAACCTCTATACCACTGAGCCGGTATCCAACGGCGTTAATGTTCAACTTCAACCAATCCACGATATTGCATGATCACCTTCCATTGTATTCGATGAGTAACTGCCTCACACCCGACACGGTCCAACTCCATTGGTCACAGCTTCTCACTAAAAATTCAAGAATAACCTCTCGAAGCTACTCACTAGTGAGTATATGATAATTATCAGTACAGGGTTGCGGAGATTATTGAGTTTTAATTAAGAGCATGAACTGATCAATGTTGAACCACCATTGAAAACCTACAATCACTGGATGACGATTTCATCCCAGTTAGGGACACCTCAGAAGACTCTGACTACTTGCGAGTAGTTCATATTTTAAAAGCAAACGTTAAATATGGTCACAAATACTAATTAAAAAATTAGTAGTTGAATCTTTTCAGAAAAATTTATAACTCAAGGATAATTAAAGTATTCTTGTTAATTACCACCTCTTCCTATAGTCTATCATAAAAGGTTTATTAATCTTTTTGTTATTTATGCTTTCTGAAGAAATGGCTGTCCAGATTATCAATGGTGGTCTAGCTTAGATTGACTTGTGAATTCAACTGTGAAATAACTACAGTCTCCAGAAATCCTCATACTGATAATAATCATGTGCCCGGTAGTGACTAGCTTCAAGATGCATTTCATGGAGTTCTAGTGAGAAACTGTGACTACTGGAGTTCAATCCACATCACATATGAGAGAGTTATCCACCTCAGATAATAGATGTAGGGTTGCACAAGATCATGGATCTATTGAAGTTAGACATTAACACCGTTAGATGTCGGTTCAGTGATCTAGAGATTAAACATTAGCGCGCAAGACTGAATATCCTGAATCTGAGTCTGGCGAGTGGATCGTGGATGCACATTGCTGATTATTAGGACGAAATGGCAATCCAATACTTCCAGATGTAGATTTGGCTACTTTATAAGTTAAATAAATAGTCTTACTCGTTAACTTAATTAGGTCTATTACCGTTCTTTGTCTATAAGTCTAGATATTTGATAGATTCAGTGATGCTGATCTATTTAATAGATCTTCAAAGTGCTTTATCTTAATGTTCCACTGCTCTTGTGTGATGTATGCTATTTATGTCTGTCGATGTAAGTAGTATGTAACACCAAGCAGAAGTAGAGTGACTGGTAGCATAAGAAAACGGGAGTGTAAACAGAGCAATTAAGTTTGAGATAGTTGATGAAAGATATGCAAACAAAGTATTTATCGCATTGTTTTCACACTTTACCTCTCCCCCACTCACTTGTGTCCTCGTTCACTATACTTGAACCTTAGTGATGTGGATCAATAGTAAATTCGTAACGGTTACAGACAAAGTTAAACAAGAAATAAAACTTGAATTTGATTTGATAAATAAATTTATTATTTATTAAAATCTAATAATTGTATTCATGAGTCAAATGAAGCTAGACTACTATAGAAAACCTGGAAGCATTAGATAGCCATTTTGTCCTAGTATGCGACTCACTGAAAACAATGATGGATGGTGTCGCAATTTTGTGGATGAGTTGAAGTTAAACATTAACACCGTTAAATGTCAGCTCAATGGTTTGAAGGTTGAGCGTTCGTGTGTGAGACAGAAAGTTGTGGGTCCGAATCCTACGAGCGGAATTGTCAGTACCTACTAATGAGAAGTCCCATACTAGAATGATATAGCCGTATAGTGACTCCTGATGGTCTAGCTTTAATTGACTCATAGATTCAACTATTAAATTACTACAATTTCCACAAAACCCTCTTTCGGATTTAATAAAATTCACTTTCATAATGAGAATTTTGAATGTATTATTGGTAATAAGAATTTGAGGCTTTCAGTAGTACCCCATACATAACTCTACTAATTGTCGAATACATAAACTTTAGGTATCATAATAAGTGTCTAACTATAAAACTATTAAGTTGAGATCAAACAGTTCATCCCTCTAATTTCAATGAGTTCAAGATATTGAGTTATAGATCACCCCAGTATGTATATTTATCACGCCTGATACAGTTTATGTTATATCTTGTCCCCTGTCCTCCTATCAATGTATAATGTAATGAGACCGCCAATTAGAGAGTAGTGAATTATCGATCGCACCAATGATGCATAAAATACGTACGAGCAGTCTAGAGTAGTTATCAGTCCTGCTTCCCGTCTAGCCCTACCTGTTAAGTCTCAGTCTCTGAGATATGAATCATGTATTTCAAACATACTTGGTTTATATTATCAACCAGACAGACCACATCGTACCAATAAAATAGAAAACAATGTTTGTACAAGATCTAACCAAATGTGGCTGTGAATATGGGAGGTAGTAAGAATAGTATAAGGCTCATAATAAGAGGGACATGAATATGTATAGTTTAGTTACATAACAATTATACGATAAAAATATACGCATAGTATTGATCCATAAATGGATCCCAAAAGCTACCACTCATTATGCTTATGGGGATATGACAGTTTATAATTTTTTATGTGGAAATTCATGCATATCTACAGATTATTGAATACAGTATGTAATATTAAGTAAATTCTAGAGCGTATAATTACTCTCCTAGGATTTCTTTACCAATACAGCCTGTAATATATTTTGTTTGACAATGGTCACCTGTTACCATGGGAGTGAATCCCCTTATGTTACTCCACTGTCTTGTGGATTAGACCTTTCGGTCAAAGGTTCCGGGTGTAACCCCCTTAAGAAAACCACCTGCGTAGTAGTATCCCAGCCTTCACACAAATCGAATGTTTTGTGTGGCGCATGTGTATTCAGTGCCTCCTTGTACCGATGTTTATGTGTTTAAATGAATAAGTTAATATAAAGTTTAACATTAGACATTGTTTTAAATAGTTTATATTATACTAATTCTGTGTTCTGTTCATTTCTTACTTTTTCTAGTTGTATATTTGACTACTTATTAATTACAGATGAGTATTATACAAATGTATATACTTATTGTGGTCATCAAGTGAAAGCATCTCATTCAATTGAAATGAATAGTTCACAAGTCTATATAATATTTGGTACAGATGATGCTAATCATGGACACGGTTTCTTACTCAAATATGAAACAGTCGAAAATGAAGCATTGAAATCGAACAACTTTTATTTATGTGGATTAACATTCCAATTAAATGAGGATGTTGAATATAATGATAATAAAATGGAGAGTAGAATTATTGGTGGAGAACTATCTAGACCAGGTCAATGGCCATGGATGGTATCACTAAGAGAAAATAATCAATTTCGATGTGGTGCCAGTTTAATTAGTAGTCAATGGTTATTAACAGCAGCTCATTGTTTTCCAAAGTATGTAGTTGAATGGTTTGAATAATTTTTTTCTGGCTAGCGTTTTTTTAAGCGAATTAGTTTTCTACGAGATGGGGTCGCTAACCCCATGCCCAACCCTCCTTCTTTATCCGGGCTTGGGACCGGCAGTAGCCCCTGGAGGGACTCCAAGCGGAGTTATGTAGTTGAATATAATGATAATAATAAATTATTTAAAATATTACTAAGGAGTAAATCAGTTGTGGGAGTTCAAGTCTTCCAGTTGTCAGGGTTATGCAATATATTAGGTTCCAGTCTTAGACGCAAGTATATTCAGCTTATGAGTCCCAAATAGAATGGAATGTGTATCCTGAATTTCATTGATAGTCACTATCCTCCCAGTTATTAATAAAATATCATTTATTCGAAATACAAGTTGAGATACAAATATCCAGACATGGTTTTTACACACACACACACAGACCTACTTTGTATCTATCTGTATGCTATTAGAACGTAAATCCTATAGTTCCGTTTAGTGTTCTGGAGTGTAAAATCAATATTTTATTAGTATCAGATGCGGGTTTTATGGATATTATAATAATTTTTAATAGTTGAAATCATGAGTCAATTGAAGTTAGACCACCATGGAAAACCTGGAAACAATGGAAGAACTTTTCATCATATTGTGGTACTTTTCAGCAGTGCGTATTCACGATCCTGCTTCGTGAGATTCGAACCCAGGACTATATTGATCTTGCGCGCAAACGCTTTTTTTTATATCTAAATGACTATTTGTTGTTGAATATGACACATATATAATTAACATCTACATTGGATTCTGGCCAAAATCCTTTTTTCCTATAAATGCATTTTGATAGTCAGGTTATAGGATACAAAACAAGATCATATACTATGCTTGATAGAAATAGACATAAAGAACTGAACCTACATCTGATGAAGTTTCTCCCTCTGAACTGGATCATTTATTCGTGGAGATTTCATTGTCGTTTATTTTTCTTCTGAAAAGTATACAATTCAAGTAGAAGTGATATATTGGAACTATCGGACATATAATTGATACCATGTCCTGTCGACTTTAATCTTGATTGATCATTATTGATCTATAACCTGTATATTTATTTTAATTGTTTCCCCTTTTGATGTATTTCCCTATGATTTCTCAAACTCATTGATAAGTTGGGTTAATATTGATGTGTTAATTGATTATTCAATTGAATTGAACCTAAAGCTTCTAGAAATTCTCTTGACTTCTTTGCATGCATTCTATCTCCTCAGTTGAATATGTGTCTATAGTCATTCATATGCATTGATATTATTGAAGGGACTTAATGACATTAATATTCATTGAGACAAAGGGAACGCCCACTTTTTCCGATGCAATACTTCGTCCAGATAGGATAGTTTATTTTGAAAACAACGAACTTATTTAAAAATCTTTATACATTCAACTGGTGTTCTTTTACTTGTATCTTCCCATTGTTATTGCCAACAAGAGACTGATCCAAATTACAAGTAGAACAATACCAAGTGAATTTAAATTTCATTCGACTGCACAAGTAGGTGACTATCAGGATTCAGTAGCTAAGTGGATAACGTGATAGTGTTTAAGGCGAACAGTATTGGGTTCCAGTCTCAGAGTGAACATCAACTCTGAGATGTAGGTACATTCAACTGACGAGTCCCAACTAGGATGAAACGCTCATCCTGTATTCCACTGCTAACTATTATGCATCTTTGCTTTAAAATGCTTGTGAATTAAGGCTATATCGAGGCAATCCGCACAGGACGCACACATGCCAATAACAGACTGATCAACTGCAGTCCTAAACATCAAAGAGAAGATTCAAATAAACAACACCAAGTTAGTTTAAGCTTCATTCGACTGCACAAGTAGGTGGCTATCAGGATTCAGTAGCTAAGTGGATAACGCGATGGTGTTTAAAGCGAACAGTATTGGGTTCGAGTCCCGGAGTGAACATCAACTCTGAGATGTAGGTAGATTCAACTGACGAGTCCCAACTAGGATGAAACGCGTATTCTGCATTCCACTGTTAACCACTATCTATCTTTGCTCAAAGATGTTTATACATGATGGAAAAAAATCTTTCACAGATTAAAGTGACAGTAAATTAATTCGTTTACATGTTATGATTATTCATATATTATTACAGAAATGTAAATCTAAACAATTGGATAGTACATATTGGTGATTTTTATTTAGATTGGATTGATAGTGAAGAGATACTAATGAATATAAGTAGTATATTCATTCATCCAAATTATCATCTACGTAAATTATACGATTATGATTATGCATTAATAAAAACTGCTTCATCAATTCAATATACTTCAAAACGATTACCAATATGTATATTGAATTCAACATTGATGAATATGAATGAACTGGATCGTTGTTATGTTGCAGGATGGGGAAGTTCAGAAGGTAATCAATCATTGAATGTTGTTACTCTTTTCACCCTATTGAAAGTAAATTAATCTCGAATAATCTATTCACAATCATATATAACTATACTGGACTGAGGTTGTTTAGTTACTTGATCTCAGTTAGTACTAACCATATTTTTTTTGGAAAACTGCCGATTTTATTAAGTTTCCCTAGTAGGATTTCTAGGTGAAATGTATGTTTACGTGAACGGTTTAATCAATCGCCTGATATTTTGACAATTGATTTATGGTAGTGAATGTAAATGTGATTGGTGAACAAACAGACAATCAACTAATTGACTGTTAAATATATGATCTACCCAAGATTCACTGAGAGTGATTGGTTATAATTGTGTAGAACTAAGTATTATCTAACGTTATTCTACTTCCCTATTCTTGATCGTGAATCAGGTATCGTATATAACATGATCTAGCTTCTTTATAGTTTATCGTTCTAGTACACAATCCAGCGGTTTTATAAACCCATTCATCCATTCTAGTCTTATTATTATTACCTCCAAATGCCCTGGTACGGCGGAGAGTCGGGAGAGTCCGCTCTCCTACTCCAAATGCTCTCACATGAGCACGCGTATATAGCCTTTGTCAGGAAATTCCTACTCACTGCCTTGTCGCATCACTGGTGTTGTTTACGAAACTGAGAGGACGAAATGCGAACTTCCGGCGCTTTAACCGGGTCGGTGGACACGGACAGTTCACCTAAGGGAGTTGTTAAACTCTGATTCCAAACCAATGGTGCACAAGGGCTCCAGTATAGCGAGGGAACAAATGGCGTATGAACCAATAGTTGGTCACCGGCTTCCATGGGACTGCATCTCCTTACGATGCTCCACTGCCTTGTGGATCAGACCTTCAGATCGAAGGCTCGGGGAGTGGCACCCTAAGAAAACCACCTGTTCCGGTTCGGGCACCTGTACAGTATCACAGCCCTCATACAGAACAAATGAGATTTGTGTGACACATATATCTCTTGCGTCTCCTTGTATCAATATCTGTGTTAAAATAAATAAAATATTATCATAGTATGGTAATAAACCGCGGAAAGAAAAATATTCAACTTCATCTTTTATATCATCAATCATTCAGTAAAACAGCATTAATAAACAGGTTGATTGGATATTAACCTAAAGTCTTGTCCATAGTATGATTACTCAAACGAACTATCTTTACTCTCTCTCTCTCTCATTATTATTGTTTCATGCTGAAGTGTGTTCTGTGACAGTTTTTTTAATGTATTCTGTTGAACAGATATTGGAATTTTCTTTTGAATATGTTCTACGAAGTTAAGATATATCAACAAATGTTAAGATGATTATCACTTTGATCAAAGTGGAAACATGAAAATTCCAACTCTCTAATTTAAGTCTCTTTACCAAAATGGAACAGATCTAAGATATTAGAACAGATCAAACATAGAATCTATATTTAGTTATATAATATACTCTTGTGAGCCAGGGTAATTTTACATTGGTTTTCACGAGAACCAGACATCATCCAGACTTTCACGTGACAACCCAAACAGTACAACTCAATCCCGATTAACTGGCTTTAATGCTACAATCTGAATGGTACAGCTCAATCCTGTGGTGCAACCATACAGGTACCAAGCTCCCTGATGGACCATTCGCATCATTCATATACACATTCACGTCACATGTATTATAATTATTCTGATCTATGATCGTGTGAATCAATTATGCACAGCACAAACAGGCCAAAATTGACCTATTCCGCTTACACGATAGTCAAACTCATTAATGTTAGCAATGTCGACATGCCTCACAATGGTCCTTAAGAACACTGAAAAGCAACCACCAGTATGAATGAAATCAATTAACCAGCAGACCAATTTTGAGCATGAACAGTTAGCAAAACTTGCCAAAGTAATGCCGAACCATCCACAATACCAATGATGAACCTCCAGTTTTATATGAAGCCTTCAGCTCTACATAGCAATATAGGATCTATAGACTGACTATTAAAAAATTTAGTATAATAACAATTAGATATCAGTCTCCTAAAGGATTCATTCTCTAGTCATATTTATGATCAATTTGTTTAGTTATATTAACTTAATGAATTGGAAACTAATCTTCCTTATTTGTATACAAATAGATTCACCAATATCAAATGAATTGCGTCATCTTTATATTCCATTGCTTAATTTAACTGTTTGTAATCAAACGGAAGCATATCAAGGAAAATTAACTGAAACAATGATTTGTGCTGGATATATTAAAGGTGGTAAAGACTCATGTCAAGGTGATAGTGGTAGTCCATTAATGTGTCAATTACATAATACTACTGATCATGTATGGTATCAAATAGGAATTGTATCATTTGGGAAATCATGTGCTGGTAAGTTGACAATCACCAATGTATTATGTTAACTATGTGTAATAAGAATGAACTTGATAAATTATTTACTTAGTAACTAGTTATCTGATAATAGTTTACATTACGAATCGAATTTAAAATAAGGAGCTAGCACCAACAATCTTGTCGTTTGGTGGATGTGTTATGTTAAGATGGTGGTTATAGGTAGTCAACAGGAAACCCAGTACCTAGGTTTCGTGCTAGTTGGTACTCGTCAGCAAGGTGTACCTGTAATCTTGAGGGAACTGGTGTTCCCTGACGGATTCAATCCCGTATCACCCAGTTTCACAGTCAGAGATGTTACCACTGGGCTATCCGGGCCACGACCGACCTCCTGTAGAACTGAGATGTATTCACAATTCATTGATCACTGGGTAGTGATCAGTGTCATCGGTATCAAGTCCTTCTTAGTGCAGATCTAATTCTATCGACCAAGCTGCAATGTGGCCAGTAGTCTAGCTGTGTTATGTCTTAAACACTGAGTAGAAGTAGGATAGAGTACATGTCAGCTAATCCGTGATATTGAGCGACGATCATCCATTAGTATCAGTGATATCCATCTTACTCTTAATGTCATTAAGTCAACACATAACAGCTGCTCATCAAGTAACAGATATACAGTGCTCTTTAGTTGCCAATCATTATCTTTGCTAAAGTCAATTAGAACTTCGCAGATCTAGTGTATATCCATCAAAATATACAGAGTAATCCAATATATCACACCTTACTCTAAGTATTCGATATGTAAGCTTTAAAAATTTAAGTATGTTTCAGGGATTGAATTCACAACACACGATTTCTGTAACATCTATTTACATTATACCTTTATGTGATGATGAACTTAAATATTCTGAAGATTTACACGGTTATGAACTGTCTTGAAGTTAGAATCTCCAAAGTAAAAAGTTAATGTAAATGTCATATACTTTGTCATTTTGAAAGTTTTATTCCAGAAGGAAAGTAATACATTGAAGTTTCATAGTCTGTATTATCCAATTTTTTTTATATTTTAATCTTAGCTGACATATTTCGATCCTGTTCGGATTAGCTTGATATAGCTATTATGACACAGGTTTATATGAAAAAGATAGGGTGTGTCTATGAGTGGAATTTAGAACGTCGGTTTCGTCCCCTTCTGGACTTGTCATCTGGATGAACCTAGATCTTAGAGATGATTTCCGATTGGACAATCGAGACCAGTACTACTTGTTTCAAACGAGCTGGCTTAGACGGAGGCGAATCAAGCTGATGAATCCTAAGTAGGACGAGACGGGCATCTCAGATCCCACTTCTAGCTACATTTCATCTATTCTTACTGTTTATATTTTGTCTAGGCGTTGAATAATAAGGATTGAAAACATTTCCCCGTTACAATGATCGAGGTTTATTGTACTATTTACGAACTTACTCATGTAAATAATTGGTTTTATTAGGTCAATGGAATAAATAATAATTACTGTAAGATTCTTTAATTTTATTCCATTTCAAAGTCTTTGAGGAAATAAACCGGGTAATCTTACAGTGCCATATCATCTACGACAAGCATCCGTGTAACCGATGCATCCTACTTCAAAGTTATTTAATTTGATAGTTGAATTCATGAGTCATTTGAAGCAAGACCACCATGGAAAACCTAAAAGCACTGAATGGCCGTTTCGTCCAGTGGAATTCAACCGGGTCTGTTGTGAGATAGTAGTTCATTAATGACAATGGTGGACGATGACGTGGATTGGTTGAATTTAAACATTAACACTGTTGGATGACGGCTCGCGCGCGAGACTGACAGGTCCTGGGTTCGAATCTCGTGGGGGGCGAGATCATGGATGCGCACTTCTGAGGAGTCCCATACTAGGACGAAACGGCCGTCTAGTGTTTCCAGGTTTTCCATGGTGGTCTAGTTTCAAATGACTCAGAATTTCAACTATTGAAATGCAAAATTACAGTGTATCTTCTTAATATGTGAAAACCATACACTAAATATATCATTTGCACATCTCCCTTCAATTGTCCTTTATACACATCATGATTCTTTCAATTCTGTTGTTATCACAATTGTTGCCTTTTTTTCTTATTCACTTCAATCTTCTGCTGACAGGCATTTCACTCCCAATGGTTGTTAAATACTACTCGTATCTGTGAACATAAGTAGCATATACCCCATTATTAATTATACTCCTAACTATCATTATCGTATAATTCAATGTAAATTATATTAATGTATAGTGATTTTATCTTATTTTTTCAAGCGGCAGGAACTCCAGGAATTTATAGCAATCTTACACTTGTCAATAATTGGATCTCTTCAATTATCCAATCATATGAATAATTATAAGCTACTGTAGAAATAAACAAATAGTTTACTGTAATATGTAAACACTTCTTGGTTACAATTGTCAATATTTATATGGTAATTTAATTTCTTTTTGTAAAAAAAATCATTCTGATAAATCTTCTAATTGAACGCTAGATTCGATTCCTAAGGTCTTCTAGTTATCTACCCCTCCCCCCCATACACACAGGGCTAAATCTACACAGCGACTTGAACACAAGAGAAATGCTTTCCTCAAAGGTTCGTTTATATACAGAAAATGTAGGGTATTTATAGGACTTTAGATGGCTTTGGGTTTCCGGTAAGTTCTGGAATGCTACTAAACATAGTAGCGGTATAAGTAATGATTCAATCAGAAACGCGATATGTGACTTTCCATTATCTAGATATTTCTGGTAAATAGTCTATTGAATGCTGATTGGATAAGATGTTTCTCAGAGTTTTCAGAGCCTTTTTTTGGCTTCTTTCAAGTTTTCTGGATATACCCCAACATATTCATTTACATATCAGAAAAATTTTTTAATATTAGACACTTGAAGTTCCATTTACATCATAAAATGAATTAATCTGACACTAGTTATTGAGAGGCTGGACAGTAATGCACATAATATGAATATCTCAACCATTTACTACTGGGTTAAAACCAACGAGAGTTAACTAAATGTAGATTTGATATGATTATTCAACTTTTACATATTCCATTATTTATCATAATAAACATAGAAATGTTAAGTCTAAGTAACAGTGTTGGGGACGTTAGATCCCCATAACTCACTTGGGAAAGGACCTAATTTTGTAATTTTATTCAAGAAATTCGGATTTCTTTGTTTTCGCGCTAAAGGCGCTCTTTCCACCTTCATGGTGTATTTCCCACTTGGGAGAATATTAAATGCTAGTGGTCGGTTGTGTCTTTTAGTATGCTATTTTGTAACTCGCACCAAGGACGGTTTTGTGCTGTAAATATACGTTTTGATTTGTGTTTGATGTTATCGCTCATTTCTGGATGTTTGCGGAATAGACTTCTCCATCCCAAGCTTGGACTTCTTCTTCTAGTTAACGGGGCTGGGTCGCATCGAATAGCTAGCTTGTTGGTTTTTGGTCACCAAGTCTGTGTGTCTGTTCGCAGTCTAAGTAAACTCATAACCCCTTCAAACTTAGCAAATAGGAGTTGAAGTAAAGCTTTCATCACGAACTGACATCAGCTATAATAAGATTATGCCTTTACCACTCTTTCGTTGATAAACTTATAAAAGCCAGGATTGAGATTAAGAGCTAAGAGTTGAAGTCAATTTATTATTTGTCTATTTGAATACATAAATATTGGTACAGAGGCACCGAATACATATGCGCCACACAATAATAATGAGGACAGTAGCAGTTATCATTAATTTATGTGAGGGATGGGATACTGCCCGAGTGCCCAGACCAAAGTAAGTGTTTTCCTTAGGGGGCCAAAACCGGAGCCTTCAACCTAAAGGTCTGATCCACATGGAAGTGAAGCAATGTGAGAGAATGCAGTCCCACGGTAGCTGGTGATCAACAATAGGTTCCATCAGGATCCCGGAACCCATGTACACCATTGGTTTGGGATCAGAGTTTTACAACTCCCACAGGTGAACAACAGAAATGCAGGGAGAAGTAAGTAAGTAGGACTTCCCTGACAGTGGTTGTATGCACGTGGACATGTGAGAGCATTTGGAGAGGGAGAGCGGACTCTCCCTTCCTTCGGCCGTACCAGGGCTTTTGGGGGCATACCTTATTCGAGCCTCTAGGTAGATCGATCTATTCACTCATCTTAAGCATATTTTGACCTTGTTAATTATTCGCTTATTAACCTTGACTGATTTGATTTGTGTGTGTATTTCTTATCTTACTCATCAAACGTTTGTAACTTATTTTTGTGTGACTATAAAATCGATTCACGTTTGGTTAAATTGGGTTGGCTCAATAGCCTTTTCAATTGCGCATCATTTTGTTATGCTTCGCCTTCTGGTCAACCATTGTACAAAATATACGTATTCAAAATTCATTTTCAAATTGGATTTATTTAATTTCGTTATCCACTAACGCGACTTAAGTCGATGATTATATGCGAGAATAGGCGACATGTATATTTCAATAACAATCAATCGTATGATATTACTAGAATCAGATAACGGGCCAATAAAATTATGAGCCCGCCGACGATGAAACTAACGCAGCACTCCATTCTTTCAACGAACAAACACAGCAAAGCCAGCTCAATCAATACATAACCATACGATCAAATTGAAGTCAGATTTAACTCCAGTAAAGTGATGATCCCATCGAAAATATCATCGTCCGATATAATTAGCCACAAAACCATAGTCACTATGTAATTGGATGAAAGGTGTATTTTGATTAATTCTATGTATTAACAATGTTTATTCACTTAGTAATAAGATATGTACATAGTGAATTTTGTTGACAACCTAAAGAAATGATCTCTTCATTCTGATCGGTTCACTCAAGGCTACGCTAGCACTGTATACTTTCACCATTAAACCACATTTTAGAATATCAAATAAAACACTGAATATTAACTATTACAAGATAATCAACCGAGTTTATTTGTGCATTAAGAAACTAAAGAAATCAATTTAAAGTGAAAACTAAACAGGAAAAACTCTCTCTTTCTCTTTCTGAATAGTGTGTTCTTCATAATGATAATTATGTTATAAGAGAGAGAGAGAGAGAGAAACAATTGATTGACACCAGTCATTTTAATATAATCATAATGATAGATTATCACATAGTAGTAACCAAGCAATAATCAATCTAAATCAGATGGGTTTAAAAAAAAAGATTCAAACATAAAAAAAGAAAACAATACAGAACAAAACTCTACAGTTTCACGGAAGAAATAAAAAGAAAAGTTATTTAAATATTTTGTTTTAATATCCTTCCCCCCCATTTCTTGAATGGGATATACACAACAACAAGAATAAATATGAACCTAAATAGAATCTATTTACTGAATTATGATTGGATAAAATAACCGCAAAAAGTGATAGATAGACAGACAAGACACATATGAAAATGTGTAGGGGAACCAATAGAAATGCTAAAAAACAATATTAAGTAATTGTGATTGGTAGTCTTCAATTTGCAACAGTAGATCGATATACAGACAGGGCAACTATATATATATATATATGTCAATACATGTGAACAAGTGCTTAGGGATCTGGCAGGACCAGGTGGGAAGTAAAGCACGGTCTTGGGGCTAATAAATATAAAGGGGTGACAAAGTAAATAAATAAGGGAGACAAATCACAGCCAATTTCTTTGAGGTAAACGCTTCTTTTGTAAAACAAAGATATTTTGCACGGTTATTATTTTTTTCCCTATTTACGCGTTTACAGATTTATTTAAGAATTCGATTTCATAATTGGATTATTACCATTTGATCGATTAGTAATGGAAATCTGTGCAGATCTACCATTTAAATAATCATTATTATGATTAGTACCAATGTTATTTAGTATAGGTAATCTAGTATCCAATAATAAATTTCCATTAGCATCTTTAATACGTAAACGTCCAGAACTGTAACGAGTTTCATGTCGACCATCGGGGAATATAGTCTTTGTAGTACCATCTGGATATACACGACACTGAGAATTAGAAGTTTAGAAAAGGTGTAAAAGTTTAGATGAATTAATTCATTTATAACAAGGTTTATAGAAGACTTTATTCTCTCATGTATTAAATCATTCTTATTTTACTTACTTTAAATAAACTTGGTAGATGCAGATTACTTGGTTAGGGTCCGCGTGACTTTCGTAACCAATGATTAGAGACTCTGGGGTGACATGGCTCAGAATCGATCACAATGGCGTCGGTGTATACACTCCCTGTCTTCCCTTAAACTAAGAGATTAAAATCACTTTATATCTTTCCTTATATACAATCTTTCTTTTAAATATTAATGCCACCGAATTAACTACTTCTATGAATTTGGTGTTCATCTTGTTGTGTTAATGAAGTATGGCAACTTGGACCTATGCATATATGTGCCTGGTCTTACGTTGTAGCTGACTGACTGAAACTTTGAAAAAAAGTTCGTTGAACACATATATTTGCGTGTTTCAATGATGTATGTGACTAATAGAACAGTCAATCAAAGAATATGAACGACAACAACAGTTTCAGTTGTCATAGTTCATACTTCACAGAAAAAGGAGACTTGAAAGGAAATAAAGAATGAATGCAACTGCACTACAGTGACCAATTTCGAACTACATCATCTAAGGTCTACAACTATTGATGTCAACCAAGATGTCTTCAAATCCCGAAGACAGTTTATGGTAGATGAAATGTCTAACTGTATTTAAACGTACCTGGATATTAGGCATAATTGTGTTAGAAATGGGATGGAGATGGATGGACATGCGTACTATATGCCCAAACGACAACCTATAACCTTATTGGTTGAATAAACTATAGACTTACTCTCAGCATTATTAACTGTTTTTTTCTATTTTTCGAAGATACCTACAGTTGAATACTTTCAAATCTTCTGTATACTCAACTTTCAAAAATGAATAGAAATACAGCGTACAACATACTTACTGTTTAAAAGGTAGATTTTTATTTCGTTCATCTGTTAAGTAATAATTATGATTGTGAATGTTAAAAATACCCCCCTCCCTCTCTCCCAATAAAAAGAATAACACTTAGGTGACTTAGAAATAACAAGAATAATAAACAACTTTAAAAAGTACATTTTTATTATAACTGGTTTCTGCTGCAACCAATATGATGTTTGTAAGCAATGATGGATAGTGGCTAGCAGTGGAATCCAGGACGCGCGTTTCGTCCTATTTGGGACTCGTCAGCTGGATGTACCCGCATCTCAGAGCGTTGATGTTCACTCTGGGACTCGAACACAGTACCATTCGCTTCAAAAGCCATCCCAGAGTGAACATCAACTCTGAGATGCAGGTACATCCAGCTGACGAGTCCCAAATAGG